TACATATTTATACATACTAATGTATGTATGAAAATTTTTTTTACCGGAATATTTTTACAGATGCAATAAAAGTTGATAAAATACACAATATATCTTTTTATTAGTCAAGTCATTGATAATGTCATGCGACATTTAGTGTTATTTTTGTGGATTTGATACTTATTGAATATTTATTGGTCAAATATATCATACATTTGCAGTTTAATATTTAAAATATTTGTTAGACTGCAACAATATGCACATATTACACATAGAATTTTAAATGAGAATTTTTATTTGAATAATTTTCAAAACGATAATTAATAGTTAAAATATAGAAATTCAGATGAACCATTTTTTCGGCTCATTTGAGACATTTCCTTTTCAAAAATGGACGTTCCGTTTAAATTAATAGCAACAATTAAATGATGATTAAGTGACGCAAGAACAAATTTATCTTAAATCTAGATGTTTTTTAACATCATTCTCATATTTTGAAAGTTAACAGCAAGGCAGGAATGCATCAAACTTAAAATCTGATCATAGTATCTTAAAATAGAGATTTCAAATTTAAAAAAAAACTGATATACGATAATTTTTCGCAAAGTTATCGTTAGTCAAAATTGGCCAATTTTCACTCACAATTTTTCTATGCCATAATTTTTTTAAGTGTATATATCTTTAATTTTTTTCCATATTTCTATTTGTTTATCTAATATAAAAAGAAATTATCTCTATCCCAAACCGAGAATTGATAAATAATTCATAGAAATTATAAAAATCGTACCTTTCTTATAGCTGGCATGAGATTGGCGTGTATGATCTTCCAGCCATGATAGATTATATCGTGAAGATCACTGGTCGCGAGAAAATATTTTATCTGGGGCACAGCCAGGGTACCACTTCTTTCTTCGTCATGTCAACGGAGTTGCCAGAGTATCAGCACAAAATCCAGGCGATGTTCGCGTTAGCACCAGTTGCTTATTGCAGCAGATTAAGAAATCCCATTTTTCAATTCCTGGCAAGATTCTCCGATCCATTAGACGTATGCAATTTTAAATTCGAAAATAAAATAATCAATTTTTTCACCTTTTTCTTTTTTTAATAAACGTCTTGTTGCAGGAATTATTAAAATTAATCGGTATATACGAATTCACGCCTACTAACGAAATCATGAAACAATTCCAGAAAATAGTATGCGAGGAAGACGCTATTACGCAACCTTTGTGCACTAATTTGATCTTCTTAATCAGTGGATTCGATAAAGATCAGTTTAATACTGTACGATACTATCATTAATATACCTTTAATTATTTTGTGAAATTTAAAATAAGAATAATTATCACATAGTAAACTCGTTTCTTACAGTCCATAGGCACAGAATTTGCAGTAATATCGCTACAACTTTTGTGCAACTTTGTACTGTGGGGGAGCATTCTATTATTAGTGTTATTAAATAATGTCATGATAATTTGTTTTAGAATTAATCATGAATTTTACAATCATATAATTTATTGGAATTATATATAATAATGTCAGTTCATTATTATAATAATTTGAGATTATTCATACTTAATGCTGCTATCATCTTGTAGACTCTTCTACCATTAATCATGGAACATGCTCCGGCTGGCGCAGCCACGAAACAAATAATGCATTATTTACAGCTTATTAAAAGTAGTGAGCATCTATTCCACTATAATACCTTGTATTATACTCGTATAAAGATAGTGAAACATACATCGTAAATGCATTCCATTACTACTTCATTAATATTTCTTTAAATTTTATAAAATTATATACAATACATAAAATGATTATACAATTATATATATATAAAATTTTTTATAAACATGAATATATTCTCAGGATCCATTATTACAATGGGGAAATTTAGACAGTATGATTATTCACTCATCACTAATTTGATGAAATATGGTACCTTTTATCCTCCGAAATATGACTTGGGAAAAATCAAAGTGCCAGTTTCATTGCATTATAGCGCCAACGATTGGTTAGCACATGTCGATGTTCGTATATATTTTTTAAATACATAATACTACAATAGTTTATTCAATTTTAAATATCTTCAAGATATTTGTAAGGATATTTATTTTTTCATATAGGCATATGCAAATATAAACTTTCCTATATATTTTAATTAGAACAAGTATCTTGAAAATATTGGAGATGCTAAATTTAAATAAATTATTATGTAGTTTCAATTACATAGAAAAAATTATGTGTTTACATGATATCTTTATCATTTGCAGGATGTTGACCAATTAGAAAAAGAACTTGGCAATCCACTTGGAAAATTCCTTGTTCCATATAAAAAGTTTAATCATCTGGATTTCATGTGGGCTAAGGATGTTAAAGAACTTTTGTATAACAAGATACTAAATCTGATGACACATTTCTAACATTAAACTACTAAAGTTCAATAAATTTTACAGATTAAAATTTTATGCTAAGGGTCCAGAGTAATCATCACAGCCATATTGAATCGCGACGTCAGAAGCAAGAAATAACATGTTAATTTTTATTAGGTATCATTTATAAATAAAGACAATTTGGATAAAACAAAATGATGAAATTGCTTTATCAAAATGAACGAAAACTATGCTTATCTCCCCCCTGACAATCAGTAAATAATCATAAAAAGTGACGAAAAGTACATGAAGTGCTTTTATTTAATGCGCATGTGTAGCTTATTTTCACTTACACGTATCTTTATCACTTTTTATAATTATTTATTAACTATTAGGCAGGAGAAAAACAATTTTCATCCATTTTTACAAATGTTTTAAAACAATCTCATCAGTTTATTTTATTCAAATTGTCTTTATAAATGGCATGTAATAAGAATTAACGTGTCATTTCTCACTTCTGATTTAATATGACTGAGGAGCCTTAAATCGATTTAGATCAGAGAAATTTATTATAAGATTAAGAATGTTTGCGTGACAATATAATTATCGAATTGAATTATCATCAATCCATTAGAAAGAATTTTATTTAATCACGAATTTCTATTATCCTCGATATTATTTATGTGCTCATAAAATAAGAAAATCGTGATGTTTAAGAATTAATGAGATATTAATTTTTTTCACTTGCAAATATAGAAATTTTATAATTAATAACTTAATTAATTAATTTTAAATTGTAATTAATTTTGAATTTAGATTCAATTATTATACAAGATAATTATAAATAAATAATATCTAATATTTATCGAGATATTATCTTTTATTTTAATTTCTAATTATCAAAGGCAATATACTATAACATATAAAATATCTTTCAGGAGAAATTACTTGTAATAGCAAAACTTGTTTTAACTTGTAAATAACTTTAAAAAAGACTCGAGAGATATGTGTAAATATGTATTAAGATTAGTATAATAAAAT